ATAAAAGACTCAAACGGGGTCTTTAATCCGTCATGAGTCAAATGTATGTTTTTTAATTCCATTAATGTTGATATTATTTTTGAAAGTATCGTTCAAACTTTGATTACGTATTTCTTTAATATGCTGGAGACATTTTCTATCAACTGTGACAATGATATAATGATATATATTATTATAGTTGCATAACTCTTGGGGTTGAGAGTGATTTGCTCTTCACAGTCAAAGTAAAAGTAAAATAAGTCTGCTATATATTTTAGTAATATTAAGCGCGTTGTATCACACCTATGCGGGACGTCACGTTCAATTCAGGTGTAAAATCTTGTAATAGATTCATATATAGTATCAAAATAGATATATATTCATAATTGTTTATTAAAACTATAATATTTTAATTTTTTTTTGCCAATTATTAGATATGCATCAAGCTTTATATATTTTTCTTTATTTTGTTCGTCATAAAATTAATATCACCGCATACAACTACGCGATTTATTTAAAATCCCACCAACTGATTAAGGTCTAGATGACAATTTTAAACAATAAGTACCACCTGACATTTTATAAATGAAATGTTGAACCTACCGTATGTACTGAAATTTTAATTAATAAGTGTTGCTAAGACTGTTACAATATTAAATTACATCTAAGCACTTCTTCAATAGAAAATAAAGTTATCTTCTAGTCTTGAATAACTCTTAATGATTTCAAATTCGGTTTTTCATAATAATGAGTCAGATTATTTTATACCGGTACAAGTTATATTTTTAATTTTCGTTGTTAATTTTATATATATTTGAATATTATGATTTATTAAATATGAAAACAGTTAAATTTAAATATATTAATAATCAAAATTGGATGTCAGTTTTTTTATTCGATATCATAATAACTGTGCTTTCTACAATTTTGCATATAAGTTAATTTTTTTTTTTGAAACAATAAATATTTTAGGTCTTAAGATATTTTTCGTGTAGTATATTGGGGAAAAAAAATTAAAATAATGTTTTTTAATTAAATAATTACGCATTTATTGTAATTTTGAAAAAAATTACGGATCTATTGCACACTGTGACGCCTCTTTTGGGCGTCACATGTGACGCCCCATTGAGGCGTCACCCTAAGAGGAAGACATCCAAATGGGGCGTCTCTCATGAGGTGTTGACACGTGTCACTTTTTTTTCAAAAAAAAAAAACTAATTTAATTATAAAACTTCTAAATGCCATAACTTTTGACTCGAGTATTCAAATCAGATAATTCTTTTTTTAATTCCACATAACTTTTTGAGATCTACGCAATGACATCTCATTTGACATATTTTATTTCTCACAAACACAATTTTAATTTGCAAGAATGGTATTATAAGAGCAGTTAAACCCAGAAGCCTCTGAGTTCTGGATTTGCGATTTAATATAAAAAGATAAATAAAATTTTGATTTGTGATTTAAATTTTTTTATAATAATTTTTTTATTATAACAAAAATTTGGTTTGTGATTTAAATTCAAAATAAAAATAAAAATTATTATTAATAAGGAAAACAAAATAAATATTTGATTTGTGATTTAAACTAAAAAATCAATTTGAAAAATCTGAAGAAATAAAGGAAATAATTAAATAAATATTTTAAATTTCTAAGGAAGAAGAATATTATTTTTAAAATTAATAATTAATGCTATAAGCTTCTGGGTTATTATTCGTGGTCTGAAATTAATGATTGCTTATAAATGTTTTTCAAAAATAAAATTACTTAAATTAGGCGTGATTGCCTCTTGATTGAAACTCAATTTAGACGTGATTGGTGATGTGTTAAGTTTTGACACGTGTTGACACGTGTCACATTTTTAAACTCAGAAGCCTCTGAGTTCTGCGTTTGTGATTTAATACAAGAAATAAATCAAGATTTGATGTGTGATTTAAATTAAAAAAATAATTTTTTTTATTTTTATTATAAAAAAATTTGGTTTGTGATTTAAATTAAAAGTAACAATTATCATTAATAAGGAAAACAAAATAAAGATTTGATATGTGATTTAAACTCAAAAATCAATTTGAAAAATCTGTATTAATAAAAGAAATAATTAAATAAATATTCTAAATATCTAAGGAAGAAGGATTACCTGATTTAAATTTAAATTATGTTTGTGAGAAATAAAATATATCAAATAAGATGTCATTGCATGGATCTCGAAAAGTTATGTGGAATCAAAAAAAGAATTACCTGATTTGGATACTCGAGTCAAAAGTTATGGCCTTTAGAAGTTTTATGATTAAATTATTTTTTTTTTGGAAAAAAAGTGACACGTGTCAACACCTCGTGAGAGACGCCCCATTTGGGCGTCTTCCCCTTAGGGTGAGACGCCTCAATGGGGCGTCACAGTATGCAATAGATCTGTAATTTTTTCCAAAACTGCAATAAATATATAATTATTTAATTAAAAAACATTATTTTAATTTTTTTACAAGTAGATTCGTTGACGACTTGACATTTCTTTTTGAAACAATAAACTTTGGACAACCGCGATATATTTAATAAGTCTCCCCATTTTTAAGTTTTACGAAGCTCATGCCATTTTTTTATTCTTTGTCCCGATTCGCATTTTATACAAAGCTTTATAAAACACTAAACGAGATGCTAAATAAGGAATGTTGTTTAGTTGGATATCTAAATCCCTCAAAAATTGAAAAACTATAAAGTATAATATAGGATATTATATCTACCTTCTTTCGTATTTATTATATTTGAATCCCGAGAGGATCGGCTATATCCCCCTATCGATTCCCCACAACAAGTACAGTTTAAACATACTAGGTAGTGAAGTATACCAATTTGCTAACTCCTTGCTTTGAGCTCTAAGTCTTCCTCTTTTGATTCACTAGCTTGAGGCTTTACTTTGGAGGTTTGGCTATGGCACCAAGTGAAAGTACCAGCAGTTCCAGAGACCTTGATAAGACATCAACGTGGGTTGTTGCTGCAATATATACTGTTTTCATATCCCTATTGTTTAGCAGAATTGTTTTTCAAGTTCAACAAATTTTTGTCGTTAACTTTTTTTTTTTTTTGGAAACTGATCCTAATTACTTCTTTGAGGCGAAACAAAATCCCTCGGTATCCCCACGGGTTCGACTCTTTGAGCCGCCTATGAGACTAATCCAGAGTTCGAGTGCGAGTCCAAGGATTACGGTACTTATGTCCCTCCCCAGATGATGTTGATGGGATTCGAACCGAGGTCCTCTCCCACCACTCAGTCCTTATGCTACCAAAAAGACAAATAAACCGATTTTTTCCTCGTGCATTGCACGGGTAATATATTAATTATATTTTATTATAATATCTCAAAATAGAGATTTATTAATTAATAGTATTTTATCAATTATAATTAATCAATTCGTTTAAATTTTGTGTAAATAAATTATGATTGGATTTACAAATCAATTAATATATTTTTACAACATTTTCCATGATGGATTTACACAACTCACGCTACAAAAAAGATCTCAAAATAGATGTGCAAAAAAAAAACTGGAAATTAGTTAGAATTCATAATTATTATTAATTAAGAATTATATCAAAAAAGATTGATTCAAATGGTACATACTGAATTCTGCTTAAATAATCTCGAGTTCAGTCCTTGTTTCTTTGCGAGAGTTAGCTTTCACGAGAGGCAATTTTTTTCGAATTAAGAATATCCACATTGACTATCCTTCCCCAATGATGACTGTTTCCTTTTTCCTCAATCCAAAACGATAAAAGTTTACTAAAAAATATCCATTTTAAACTTTCAATTATTAAACCTTTATGAATTTAATATTAGAATTTGCATTTGTCATTTAACATGACACAATAAATTTTTCTACACACACAATATTTTGTGGGGTCCGTACTTTTTGAAGAAAAAAGAAAAGAAAAAAAATTATGGCACGCAAAATAAATCTCTATAACATTACACAATCACTTTTCTTACAACATAACTCTTATAAAACCCTTTAATATTTCAGGCCATATTAACTAATTTTATTAGTTAATTTATTGATTCTCCATTTCATTTTATTTTTGATGATAGGCAACATGAAATGCAATTTTGAGGAGTTTTTTTTTTTGGAGAAAATAAAGATTTAAAATATGCATGAAATATTAACAAGGTATTCGTATAATAATAAAAGATTTCTCTTTTCTCATGTCACATGAGATAATATCTTTCATAATATAGACACAACAAGTGGTAGGTCCCACCACTTATTAAAAAAAAATAAAAAATATAGCATGAGTCTCTGATAGATAGTAGTTATTTACAGTTATTTTCTATTATTTTAGCTTCCCTTTCTGCTATATAAAGCAGCCCATCATGTACTCTTCATGTTAATCAAATACCAAATATTTCATTCTCTTATTGCTTCTGTTTTCTCTTTGTTCACACCTTGTGTGAATAGTTCCTTTTCATCTCAAAGGTCTGATATCTCACATGGTATCAGAGCTATTCAACGATCCATGGATTCTGATTAATCATCTCCAAGATCCGCAACAAGCAATAAAAATGCAAAATCAGTCAAGCTCATTATGAAATCATGCACGACCAATGGACTAAAGTGGGAAAAAAATATTGGGAAAAAAAAACGAGGATATTAAAAAAAAAAAATATTTCAGCGGACTAAGGTAATTAATTTAGTCAACCATTTACAAGTTCAAATATTGATTAAAAAAATCATGCACGACCAATGGACTAAAGTTATGGTCAAATTGACGTTTTCTTATCAAAAATAGCTGCCAATCTTATATGATTATTTTAACTTTATCCTTGAATTTAATACACCAAATTGATTTTGAAGCGTGATTTCTCTAATAAAAAAGAGAAACATTTTTTTCTTAAACTAAAAAAAGAAAAAAAAAGCTGGAACAATTTAGATATGAACCTGCGAATATTTCAGCACCACTTGGACCTTTTCTCCACTCGTTCTGAAGACCCAGTTAGAAGCGACACAGATTGTATACAAAAAGATGTTTCTTTTATTTGTTTCACAAGGAACCCATATACATATATAATTGGAAAACTTACAATCTGTTTCTTAGAACCCAATTTTCAGTGTTTTTTCCTTTGTTGTTTGAGTATTTTCTTTTGTGCCTTCTGGCTGCCTCAAAAGGCTGTGTTCTTTTCTATCCATGTCTAGTTCAAAGTACAAAGTGCTTTTTTTATATCTGTTTTCTTCGTGGCTTTATTTTGGAGGTTTGGCCATGGCAGCAAGTGAAAGCAGCAACAGTTCCAGAGACCTTGATCAGACACCAACGTGGGCTGTTGCTGCTGTATGCACTGTTTTCATCTTGATATCCTTAACTCTGGAGAAGACTCTTCACAAAGTGGGGACGGTATGTTACTAATGAAACATAAAACTTACTGTTTTTTTTTCTTTTCTGGTTGTAATTATTAGCACTAACTCTCTGTTTGTGCGTTGCCCAATGAAGTTAACTGTTCGTTCTATATGAGTTTTCTCTCTCTCTCTCTTCGGTTCATTTGATGAAAAACGTTACTGGATTGTCACTAGCTGATATTAATTTCTCCCAGAGCAAACCCCCAGGGTTTTTTTGCTCTATTTATGTCCCCTTTAATTTAATTTGGCATATCAAAGTAATTTTCTTTTTTCCTTGCTGAGTCTTGCTCATGTTGTAAATAATATTGATTTAGTTTTTATTTAGTTTTTATTTAGTCATTTATTGTTGTATTGGGCCAAGCCCTTTGTTGTATTGGGCCAAGCCCATTAGGTTAAAAGTAGGTCAAATATTCTCTATAAATAGAGAACCCTTTGTACAGATTATTTACAATTCTATAATATATTAGAATACCTTTTTTCAAGTTGGTATCAGAGCCTCGCCGCCCCCCCACTTTCTCTTGTGGCGTTTCTTAGCACAGGTAGGCTGGGCCTGTTGCATTGTCCACTCTTCAAGCCCAATGAGCTCTTGTGTGAGGGGGCATGTTGAGATATATAGTCCCACATTGGTTGTATGTACAACTAATGTGGAGTTTATAAGGCCTTGGGCACTCCCACCCTTTGAGCTAGCTTTTGGGGTGGTGTATCCCAAAGTTCTTTACATGGTATCAGAGCTCTCGATCTGAGGGCTTTGCTTCCGCACATATTATCTTCTTTTTTACCAAAACCCTAATTTCTTTGCCTCTTGCCGCCACCGGAAAATTTTTCCGGGGACCTTTTGGACCAAGGGGACCATTGTTGACCTTATTTTTCCTCCGATCTATCATTCTACGCAGTGTTCCTCCGCCACAAACGACCGAAACACCTCCGATCGCCTCCAATCAGATCTGTCTTCACCGTTTGGACCACTTTCCGGCGACTTTTCAACCGCGACCACCCACAGACAGGTGTGCGCTCACCGGACGACCACACCAGAAAAATCTCAGCCGGTGAAGCCCATCCACGCGCTCTCACGCGCCACCCCTTTCCCGGCGAGTGAATCCCACGCGCAGCTCCTTTCTCCGGCGCGTGCGGCCGTGTTTTTGGACCGGACCACCACCATTCTTCTCGTCTTCTTGTCTTCTGTCTGGATCTGTAATTATTTTTCTGATCAGAGGTCATTTGATATTCTGTTTGGTTGATTTTATCGCTGGTTGTTAACTTTTTTTGTTAAAGAATGGCTGAGCATGATAGTTCTTCGATCTTATCTGGTAAGAGCACACGTTCTATATCTCTTCTTGCTTCTTGCACTGATTTTAAAACCTCATGGATTTTGGATTCTGGTGCAACTGATCATATGGCTTGTCGTACTGAGTTATTTTGTTCTTATCATCCTACTGTTGGTAGTCATACTATATCCGTAGCTGATGGATCCCATAAATCAGTTATTGGTTCTGGTAACATTCAAATTCAACCTTCCTTGTTTCTTAAAAATGTTCTTTATGTTCCTCAGCTTTCTACTAATCTTATCTCCACTCAAAAACTTACAACTGATTTGAATTGTTCTATCACATTTTTTCCTTCTCATTGTCTTATTCAGGATCTTACCACGAAGAAGACAATTGGAGTTGCTAATGAACAAGATGGGTTGTATCATCTCCTTCCAGACCATGCTAGCAAAAATCAGTTATTAATGACACGTCATCCTTCTACTGCAGAGTCTATGATTTGGCTCCATCACAAGCGTCTCGGGCATCCACCATTTAGTCTTTTGAAGTCTATGTTCCCCTCTCTGTTTCTCAATAAGTCGGTTGAGACCTTTCATTGTGATGTTTGTGAATTTGCAAAACACCATCGAGTGTCATTTCCTTCTAGCACTATTAAAAGCAGAGAACCTTTTTCTCTTATCCATTCTGATGTTTGGGGCCCTTCTAAAGTGCACAGTGTTTCAGGTGCTAGGTGGTTTGTTTCTTTTATTGACGATTGTACTCGGATAACATGGATATACTTGATGAAAGACAAGTCTGAAGTACCAGAGATATTTATTCGGTTTCATCACATGGTTGAGACTCAGTTTGGTAAGGGTATTAAAAGACTCAGATCTGATAATGGTACTGAGTACGTCAATCAACGCCTGTCACAATTCATTTCAGACAGAGGTATGATTCATGAGCTCACATGTGTTGATACCCCTCAACAAAACGGGGTTGCTGAAAGGAAAAATCGTCACCTTCTTAAAGTTGCTAAAGCACTACTTTTTCAGACATCTGTTCCTAGTTCTTATTGGGGAGAAGCAGTATTAGCTGCAACTTTTTTGATCAACCGTTTACCTTCACGGGTCCTTAACAATATCAGTCCTATTCATTCCATGACTTCCTTCTTTCCTTCTGTTCCCATATTGCAGAGCCTTCCACCAAGAGTGTTTGGATGTGTTGCCTTTGTCCATGTTCATAAACAACATCGGAGTAAGTTGGATCCTAGGGCTCTTAAGTGTGTCTTCCTTGGTTATAACCCTTATAAAAAAGGGTACAAGTGTTATCATCCACCAAGTCGGAAATTTTTTGTTTCTATGGATGTCACCTTTCAAGAATCTGAATCTTATTTCCTGGGTCCTCATCGTCAGGGGGAGAATAGTTCTTCAGAAGACTCGTCCCCTTCCTTCTTTGAGTCTGGATCAATCTTCTCTCTTCCTAGTGTGTCTGCTCCTGGTGTGTCAGAACCTTCAAATACACCTGAGATACAACCCATACTGTCTCACCAGCAACCTCAATCGTCTGAACCACTGGTAAGTCCTGAATCTCCTATTTCTTCTGAATCTCCTGTTTCTGATTCTAATATTATTTCCTCTCATGATTTGTCTATTTCTTCTGATATCTCTAATGACTTACCCATTGCTTCTACTTCTGATGACTTACCTATTGCTCTTAGAAAAGGAAAAAGATCTTGTCACAAGAAAACTTGTTCCTCCTGTCCCTCTTGTACTCAATACCCTATCTCCCACTTTGTTTCCTCTGCTAATCTTTCTGTGCAGCACAAAAGCTTTGTTTCAGCACTAGATTCTATTGCAATCCCAAAATCAGTACATGAAGCCTTGAAAGATAAGAATTGGGCTCAAGCCATGCAAGAGGAGATGAATGCTTTGGAGAAAAATAAAACATGGGAGGTTATTGATAGACCCAACGGAAAGAAAGCAGTAGGGTGCAGATGGGTTTATACCCTGAAATATAATTCTGATGGCACTCTTGAGAGATATAAGGCTCGATTAGTGGCCAAAGGTTACACTCAAACCTATGGCATTGATTATGAAGAAACCTTTGCTCCAGTTGCAAACATGAATACAGTGAGAATCTTGTTATCCCTTGCTGCCCATTACAATTGGGATATAAATCAATTTGATGTAAAAAATGCTTTCCTCAATGGTGAGTTAGAAGAAGTCTACATGGAAATCCCGCCTGGTTTTGATTCTGTAAAGGGGGAAAATAAAGTTTGTAGATTAAAAAAGGCCTTGTATGGATTGAAGCAGTCACCTCGTGCTTGGTTTGGAAGATTTACTAAGGTTATGATGACCTTAGGATACAGACAGAGCCAAGGAGATCACACTCTTTTCTTCAAGCACTCCCAAAATGGGAAGCTTACTGTGCTCCTTGTATATGTTGATGATATTATTATCACAGGTGATGATTTTGTGGAGAGACAGATTCTGCAAACACGGCTTGCCTCTGAGTTTGAAATCAAAGACCTTGGGAAACTGAGATATTTCCTAGGGATAGAAGTAGCTCATTCAAGCAAAGGAATTTTTATCAGCCAGAGGAAATATGTTCTTGATCTTCTCAAAGAAGCAGGAAAGCTCGGGTGTAAACCCTCTAATACTCCTATTGAGCAGAATCACAAGATGGGCTATGAAGAAGAGAGTCCTCCAGTTGATAAAGGACAATATCAACGGCTAGTTGGGAAATTGATATATCTGGCCCATACTAGACCAGACCTAGCTTATGCTGTTAGTGTTGTCAGTCAGTTTATGCACGATCCAAAAGAAAAACACATGCAGGCAGTAGAGAGAATTCTTCAGTATCTTAAAGGTACTCCTGGTAAAGGATTGTTATTCCGACGTGATGGCAATCTATCTTTAGAAGTCTACACAGATGCTGATTATGCTGGATCCGTGACTGACCGTCGCTCTACCACTGGTTATTGCATGTTTCTTTGCGGTAACTTGGTGACATGGAGAAGTAAGAAACAAGATGTGGTTGCCAGATCAAGTGCAGAAGCTGAATTTCGAGCTATGGCTCAAGGCATTTGTGAGTTACTGTGGCTGAAAACTGTTCTTGATGATCTCAAAATAAAATGTGAGGGACCTATGAAGCTGCTATGTGATAATAAGTCCGCTATTTGTATAGCTCATAATCCAGTTCAACATGATCGGACTAAACATATTGAGGTTGACCGCCATTTCATCAAAGAGAAACTTGATAGCGGGTTGATTACCACTCCATACATTCTCACTGGGCGTCAATTGGCTGATCTATTAACAAAGGGGCTTCCTTCAGACAGATTTCAAGAACTTACTAGCAAGCTGGGAATGATAAATATTCATTCCTCAGCTTGAGGGGGAGTGTTGTAAATAATATTGATTTAGTTATTATTTAGTTTTTATTTAGTCATTTATTGTTGTATTGGGCCAAGCCCTTTGTTGTATTGGGCCAAGCCCATTAGGTTAAAAGTAGGTCAAATATTCTCTATAAATAGAGAACCCTTTGTACAGATTATTTACAATTCTATAATATATTAGAATACCTTTTTTCAAGTTTGGACCCTGTAGAGCTGTGTGATTTAGGCTTACCTATGATAATATGTGAATAGTCGTGTTTACTGTTTTTCTTTTTTCTTTTATCCTTTTTCTCCCCTTGTTTTGAACTCCAGAGGCAGATTTTAAGAGTATTTTATAAAGCTTATTTAAAGTTATTAGAGTATCTTTTTGTTCATTATTAAAATTCCAGTACAATATTTGAAGTCTTAGGAATATGTTGTGTACTCTTTGAAATATGATGATTCTTTACTGGGATTATCTTGTGTACTCACTCACCCGTTCAAATTTTCTTTAGTGGTTAGGAGATAGGCAAAAGAATGCTTTGCTTGAAGCTCTGGAGAAGGTCAAGGCTGGTAAGGATTAAGTCAAAGGATGACTAATTTTTAAGTTAATTAATTAAGTAAATGCTACATTACTTTCTGAAGTTAATTTTCTATACTTTTTTCCTCTCTTTTTGATCTTTATGTGGAATAAATAATTATTTGTCATATTTTTGTCTCTTTTTTTCTTTTTCTTTTTTGCAGAGTTGATGATTTTAGGTTTCATTTCACTGCTTTTGACTTTTGGGCAGAGTTACATTGTGAAAATATGTATTCCTGCAAAGGTTGCAAACAAAATGTTGCCATGTCCATATAAACATAAGGACACCAAAAATGCATTAAGTAGTGAAGAACATCGTAGGAACCTTCTGTCTTATGAACGTAGATATTTAGCTGCTGATACTACCTCATTCAAATGCAGCAAGGAGGTAACTATGTTTCTTTTTCCCTTCTTCTTTTTTCATTTATAAATGAAACTTGAGTTGTTTACTTCTCAGTTCTCACATCTATGCTATGTTCTTTTGTGAAAAATGAAAAGTGCCTTGAAATTTTTCTGACAGCTGATATTGCAATTAAATAGAAGTAATTGATGTAGATTGATATAATTATATTTTACACTCTACCTTAAAGATTTTTGACATTGTTTATCACTAATAAATTGCTTTTAAAGACCATGTATCCTCAGATTAGAATACCCCTCTGCATAGTTTTTCAAGTTTTTTGGTTTCATGAGCTTGAAAAGCTAGGCCTTATAAAAGGCAAAACAGTGAAATACCTTGCTTTTCATGAGACTAAGTATGTTTATCTTTGAGGCAAACAAAAAAAAATAAAAATTGTAGGTGTATTTTCTTCTGCCACATTGAATGACATACTTAATATTTCCTCATTCAAAACAGCATCTTTGGGTGGAGATTGGAAACAATTGCTAGTCATTTAGATTTTTTTTTCTCATTTTTCTTTTGGGTTGTCTCTTAGTTCTTAAAGAGTTTTTAATATAAGCTTGCTGTAGGATAACAATATATTTCACAGTGATTATCAATGTTTATTCATAATCTTTTTAAATGCAAATCCTTTATAATTGTCATCCCTTCTCTTTAGATGATATTTTAATTTATCTTATTTATTTATGTGAGAACAATATCAAAAACTTCTTTTTCACTACCTGACTTCATTTGCAATTTTATCTCCTATCATTAACTGCTTATCTAATTGTTGATGGTTACAGGGAAATGAGCCACTTTTATCTGTCGATGGATTGCACCAGTTACACATTCTCATATTCTTCTTAGCTGTGGTTCATGTGCTTTACAGTGCTGTCACAATGCTTCTTGGCAGACTAAAGGTCTGCTTGTTGTTTTGATTTTTGTATACTATTTAGAATTTTTGTTTTTTTTTCCCGTATTTGTGCACATTAAGGATATTGAGTTGAGTGGTATTCATCTTATGACTTTTTCTTGCTTTGGAAGCGTGACTATGATTTATATATTTTTTGGTAATGTGATTAAATCTTTAAGTGATGAGTATAAAATTGATTTAATTACAGACATACTGAAGTCTTAAATATTGCTGGTCTCATTAGCGTTTGTAGTTTCTTAATTTGTTATTTCTTATTTTCTTCTATCGAAAAAAAGGGGAATAAAATCTTCAGATTTTGTTCAATATAACAAGAAATTAGAACATGGGGATGCATGGATGAAATTGTGTATTAAATGACATAATAATAACCTTAACCAAAACCAAAAGAAAAATGATTTAAATGCTAAAGAAAAACTGCATTAAATGGATGAAGAGTTTTCTTGCTGCAGATACGTGGATGGAAGGCATGGGAGGAGGAGACTTCAACTCACGGGTATGAGTTCGCCACAGGTATGAGTTCCATTAATGTATATGTTTTTCTTCTTCTAGTGTAAAATAACTAGTTCTTCAGTTTTACTAATAAGTTTTATCTTTAAAATACTATTGAATGAAATTTCATGTCTTTATTTGGTGTTTACCATTTATGTGTGCAGATGCTTCAAGATTCAGGCTTACTCATGAAACATCATTCGTCAGAGCCCATGCCAGTTTTTGGACAAGGATTTCTATATTCTTCTATATTGTAAGACCCATCGAATCCTACTAATTTTTTTTCCCACCGATGCCCATGATTTAGGTTGAAAGTTGGAACCATCATAGACATCTAACATTTATTAAAGCACAAGAAAGGTGATACTTTAGTGTCATTATTTGAGTTATACCTCGCATAAATTAGATAGTGAGGTACAAATATCGAATTGAACCATTGTGGCAAATTTTGTATATCAGAGAATAATCGAATTCATGTTATTCTATAACTTCTATTTCTAATGCTAATTTCAAAGTGATGATGAACAATATTATTTTTCCAATTTCAGGGATGCTTCTTTAGGCAATTTTATAGGTCTGTGCGTAAGGTTGACTACCAGACTTTGCGCAATGGGTTTATCACTGTGAGTCTTACACTCCTCAAAGAACATGTTCTTGACATTGTGGATTTATCTTTCTTCTTTTTTGACAGTGAATTATGTATAGGTCCACTTGGCTTCTGGTAGTAGATTTAATTTCCAAAAGTATATCAAAAGATCACTAGAAGATGACTTCAAGGTAGTTGTGGGAGTCAGGTAACAAACAGTCTTTGATACAATGTATTTGCATCATCATATTATGTATGGTTTTTCTAGTATAACTATTTTGAAATGTGCGCTCACTCTAGTCCACTATGTTGTTAACAGTCCTGTCCTTTGGGCATCAGTCGTTGTTTTCCTACTTCTAAATGTTAATGGTGAGCAACTATATTCTTTGTGGGGTCTTATGAAATTTATTAATTCAACATTTAAAAATTCAATTAATTATGACACTTGGTTAATCTCATGTAATTTCCAGGTTGGCATACTCCAATATGGGCATCCTTAATTCCTGTTATTGTAAGCATTCTGTTCTATGTATGAAATGTTCAAGTTGGTTGAGATCTACAATTATAATTCATTTAATTGGTTGCAGATAATTTTGGCTGTTGGAACAGAACTTCAAGCCACATTGGCAAAGATGGCTCTTGTAATCACAGATAGACATGCAGTTGTCCAAGGAATTCCTCTTGTTCAAGGTTCAGACAAATATTTTTGGTTTGGTCGGCCCCAGTTAGTTCTTCATCTTATCCATTTTGCTTTGTTCCAGGTATTCAATGAGTTTCCTTTTAGCCGAATCTAGAACAAATGTTTTGATATGTAACACACAAGGTAAAACTACTAAGATTTAAAGTTGAATCAAGCCCTACCTTGAAGCAATGAACATTGCTAATAGTATAACACTAATGTTGCTTCTACATTCTACAATACAAAAGATAACATATGCTTACCTTGAAAACTAGTCTGTCTATTCAAGCAAATCTTATTCTTTTTGGTAAACTTTTCTGGTCGCTTGAATTTGTAAAATTTAAATTTATAGTATCCAATTTAAGATAGTTTGCTAGATCTTCTACTTAAAAAAATTATGTGAAACTGCCTATATTAATCTTTGTACTTGTGAGGGTTAAAGAGTTTATCTGAAAGAGTTTTATTTTAATTTTTATTAAAGTATAGCAACTAATTGATTTTTCTTTTGCTCGCAGAATTCGTTCCAAGTGACCTATATCTTGTGGACATGGGTACTGACCATTACATCTTAATCTTGAATATTGACTAATGTCTTTTTGTTGTCTATATTCCTGAATAATAAAAGAATAATTTCTTTATTTGCAGTATTCTTTTGGGCTGAAAAACTGTTTCCGTCTTGACTACAAGCTTGCAATTCTAAAAGTAGCTTTAGGGTAAGCCTTTGATCTAAAAAATAGTGCACTTCGTACTTTGGTTTAACTGGTTACTTTATATGAATATGTAGTTGGTTGAGGCAATCTCTGCTTTTGAAAACAATAGTCTTGGGGGGAGGGTTATAGAAGTAACCAACATTAGAATGACTGAAGCCTCTGATAATACCATAAAGTAATGTGATTAATTCTCATGGGTTTGCAGGATTGTGATGCTATGCATCTGCAGCTACATCACCCTTCCGTTGTATGCTCTTGTAACTCAGGTACCTAATGTTTTTACTTCTTGACTTTCTGCTATATGATTTGAGACATTCTCCTGCAAGGTTTGATTGATGATTTCATTATTAACTCTTGATGTGACATGAACTTAATTGAGACCAAGTGTATTATTTATCCAATATAATTCCAAATGCTACCTAGAACTTCGGCATAGAAACCTACCTTTTATAATCTATTCCAATCAAACCATTAATATGAAGGAAAAAAAACACTCCTCATTAAATCTCAACTAGTGAGGATTGGGATGAGAGTAATCCTTTGTACGCAGTTTTACCTTTACATATTTGCAAAGAGTTAATAAAATTTAATTTTGGTGCTGCCATCTCTAATATGTCATATACATTTTATGCATTAATAGGTATCATAATTTATTATTTGATCATTATCTATAACATTACACTATTTGTACTTGCAAACTATGAACGTTTGAAATTGGTCTAATTGACCACTATTATGCTAAAACACATGCAGATGGGTTCAAGGATGAAAAAATCAATATTTGATGAACAAACATCCAGAGCTTTAAAGAAATGGCACATGGCTGTGAAAAAGAAGCAGGGATCAGTGCAGCTAGGAAAGTCCACAGCAAGAACCATGGATGGAAGCACCGTTGGCTCAACATTGAACTCCCCCGGACCCATACTTCACCGTTTCAAAACTACTGGCCACTCAACCAATGAGGATCAAGATGAATATGAATCTGATACTGATCAGTTGTCTCCCACATTGATTGTAAGAGTGGATCATGGTGAGCAACAAGCAGAAGAAGATACACACCATAGTGAGGGAGAAACCAACAATGTAGGTGACTTCTCATTTGTTAAGCCTCACCCTGTAGAAAGATCCACTACATTGCATTAAAGTTACACTACATTCTTCTCCTTTTATAAAATTTTAACATGTTATTGATTATTGTATATTTTAAACTTGAGATGACCACTTTGGTACATTCTTGTTCAATGTTCATAAATCACTTGTCAGTAATGGAAACTTTACCCTCACTTTAAATCCATGATTTTAACGTTGATATTTTTTATCCATGCTGGAGCAAAGGCTCATAATAAGGAGCAAACAGAGGAACTGTTTTTTTTTTATATGTTATGTATCTAATAAAGGTATTCATAAAGAGCTTATAGTTTGATGCACTGTTATAATGTAAATTGCGTTATCATCTAATTTTGTATTTCATTTAATGTGTTTGATTATGCTGGCATCTCTATTTCTGCATGTGCTTAAATATGCTTCCACAAAATGCTAATATATAGTAGTCATGCCTCATTGCTCCAACGCGTTTCTTCCTTGTAGATTTCCTTGGCTGACGTGTAACAAATGGACTTGTAGTGATATATCCCTTAGATATCTTGAGCATTTGTGCGATCAATGCCTGTGATTGTTTCTGCCACACACAAATCGGTGAAACCCAAAAAGTGGAATAGGAAGGAGAAACGTGATGAAAACACCATCTTAGCGTGTATTGAATTTTAAAAACTAAATTGACTTGACATGAGAGGTTTATATTTATCCGAAGAAAGCCAAGGTGGGTTTCCCTAAAAAGTCAAATTTTTTTCAAGTTCAAAGAAATAACACGTAATGCTAAAAGCCACCTAGGATACATGTGCAACTTTGGTCATCACTTGGTATAAAAACTTTTGAGAACGTTATTCCTAGTTCCGACTATATGATGGAAAATAATTTTTTAAAAACAATTTTTTAAAATTGATTTATCATATTTACTTAGACATATCACATGTGCAAAAAAACTATTCCATCCAACGATACATGGAAAATAATGTCTCCCATACTTGATATATATATATATATATATATATATATATATATATATATATATGGTAGTTGCTTTTATGATTCAACCTAGTTGTGATAGGTAAACAATGTTGTTAAAATCTAGATTTTAAGTAAAATTGGATGGAGATTAAAAAATCATAAAACATAAAATTATAATATAAAAAAATCGTAAAAATATAAAAACGTTTGGAATATTAGTAAAATTATTTTGATGAAAAAAATCGTAAAAATATAAAATCGTAGTGATAAATTGAAATTTTAACAACAATGTCTGTAACAGGACTATTGACATATCATATTACTTAGATATGTTTTTCTGGGACCCACTAAATAATAAAAAAAAAATTAAACAAAAAATATTGCACGAAAAACGATCTGAGTGCAAGAAGAAAACAAAATTTTCGGTAACATGACTTTTGGTTTTCCCTTAAATTGATGTTATAAATCTTGTAAGTTAAAATTAAAGGGCATTTACAATTTAATTAATGCAGATGATTATGAAAATTCTTTATTGATATTGGTGCATAATTAAAACGGGAATTGCTTCTTATATTATCCATATTAATTTCGTGGAGTTAGTGAATTTGCTACAAGAATAACGTAAAAACGTTTCAGCTTCCTGCTTCCGGGAAATTAATTCCCTGGGCCGCTTCTCACTCCTCCTCCTTTTTCTCTCTCTCTTCTTTCTTCTCTCTTCTCTCTTCTCCCCCTCTCACATGCGGTGCATTGGTTCAGGTGCACAGTATATTTGCTCAACATAAAAATATTTAATATATTCAAGGATCACTTAACAATTTGGTGCTCCTTCTCACACACTAATTTTTTTTTTTTCATTTTACCCTTGTTATTTTTCTTTTTTTTCAATTTTACCCTTCTATTTACATTAAGAGACCACCTAAAAAATGATGGTCCCGGACCACAATAAATTTTGTCGTTGAACATTGAAGTACGGGTGCGTTTACTTGGAGAATCACGTTTGGAGAAAGCTGATCCACGTGGATTTTGTAAAATGTTGACTAGTGTCTTCATCATTATTTGCTTGGCAAAAAAATTAATTTAATATTTTTTAATAAATTAATTATACGTTTATTACAGTTTTAGGAATAATTACACATTTATTACACAATATGACGTCCAATTTGAACATCACTAAGGTAGTGTTTGCTTGAAGGTTTATTTTGGGATTGATGTGAAAGTGTAAGTGGATATTGAAAAAATACCACGTTTGATTCAGATTTTTTCAAAAAATACTAGGCAAATAGGATAGATCGAAAAATAACTTTTGTGTTGATATTTGGATGAAATTCACTATTACAGAATACCACTTGAGATGTGGTATTTTGAGATAACTGGGGAAGTGAAAAATCAGATGCAAAGTTTCTCGCGAACATAGATTTTGCATATTTAAATAAATTTCCCTGGTAATATTTCGGTCAACCAAACAACTTTTTTTATATTTTCCTACCAAACTCATTTTTCAACCATTTCCCTATCAATTACATTTCCCTAGTAAAAAAAAAATTCTCCCGAACCAAACACTACCTAAAGACACCCAATTTGGGTATAACTCAAGAGGCAATCACACCTAATTTAGATGTCACTCATCACGTGTTGACACGTGTCATATTTTTTTTCACCCAATTTGGATATAACTCAAGAGGCAATCACACCTAATTTAGACGTCACTCATCACGTGTCATATTTTTTTCTAAAAAAATAATTTAATAATAAAACTTTTGAAGGCCATAACTTTTGACCCGGGTATCCAAATCAGTTAATTCTTTTTTTTGATTCCACATAACTTTTCGAGATCTACGCAATGACATCTCATCTGATATATTTTATTTCTCACAAACATAATTTAAATTTATATCAGGTAATCCTTCTTCCTTAGAAATTTAGAATATTTATTTAATTATTTTATTTATTAATACAGATTTTTCAAATTGATTTTTGAGTTTAAATCACAAAAAAAATATTTATTTTATTTTCTTTATTAATAATAATTATTATTTTTTTAATTTAAATCACACATCAAATCTTGATTTATTTTTTATATTAAATCACAAACCCAGAACTCAGAGGCTTTTGAGTTTAAAAATATAACACGTGTCAAGTTTTGACACGTCACCAATGACGTCTAAATTGGGTTTCAATCAAGAGGCAATCACGCCTAATTTAGGTAATTTTATTTTTGAAAAACATTCATAAGCCATAATTAATCTCAGACTACAAATAATAACCGAGAAGCTTATAGCATTAATCATTAATTTCAACAAAATAATATCCTTCTTCTTTAGAGATTTAGAATATTTATTTAATTATTTTCTTTATTTCTACAAATTTTTCAAAATGATTTTTTAGTTTAAATCACAAATCAAATCTTTATTTTGTTTTTCTTATTAATAATAATTTTTATTTTTATTTTTAATTTAAATCACAAACCAAAATTATGTTATAATAAAAAAAATTATTTTAAAAAAATTTAAATCACAAATCAAAATTTTATATATTACTTTATATTAAATCACAAATCCAGAACTCAGAGGCTTCTGGGTTTAACCGCTCTTATAATACCATTCTTTCAAATTTAAATTGTGTTTGTGAGAAATAAAATATGTCGAATGAGATGTCATTACGTAGATCTCGAAAAGTTATGTGGAATCAAAAAAAGAATTACCTGATTTAGATACCCGAGTCAAAAGTTATGGCTTTCAGAAGTTTTATGATTAAATTATTATTATTTTTGAAAAAAAATATAACACGTGTCAACACCACCTGATGAGTGAGGCCTAAATTAGGCGTGATTGCCTCTTGAGTGACGCCCAATTTAAGCGTCTTTAGTGACGCCAAAATTGGACGTCATATTGGGCAAAAAAATTTAATTATTGCATTTTAATTAAATAATTACGCATTTATTGCAGTTTTGAAAATAATTACGGATCTATTGCACAATATGACGCCTTTTTTGGGCGTCACATATGACGCCTCATTTAGGCATCTCTCACCTAAGGGAAGACGCCAGTGGGGCGTCTCTCACCTAAGGTTGACAAGTGTCATTTTTTAAAAAAATAATAATAATAATTTAATCATAAAACTTCTGAAGGCCATAACTTTTGACTCGGGTATCCAATTCAGGTAATTATTTTTTTGATTCAACATAAATTTTCGAGATCTACGCAATGACATCTCATTTGATATATTTTATTTCTCACAATTCACAAACATAACTTAAATTTAAATTAGGTAATTCTTCTTTCTTAGAGATTTAGAATATTTTTTAATTATTTCCTTTATTAATACAGATTTTTCAAATTGATTTTTGAGTTTAAATCACAAATCAAATCTTTATTTTGTTTTCCTTATTAATAATAATTGTTACTTTTAATTTAAATCACAAACCAAATTTTTTTTATAATAAAAATAAAAAATTATTTTTTAAATTAAATCACATATCAAATTTTGATTTATTTTTTATATTAAATCACAAACGCAGAACTCAGAGGCTTCTGAGTTTAAAAATGTGACACGTGTCAACACCTGACACGTCACCAATCACTTCTAAATTGGGTTTCTATCAAGAGGCAATCACGCCTAATTTAGGTAATTTTATTTTTGAAAAACATTCATAAGTCATCATTAATTTCAGACCACGAATAATAACCCAGAAGCTTATAGCATTAATCATTAATTTCAAAAATAATATCGTTCTTCCTTAGAGATTTAGAATATTTATTTAATTACTTTCTTTATTTCTACAGATTTTTCAAATTGATTTTTTAGTTTAAATCACAATTCAAATCTTTATTTTTTTTCCTTATTAATAATAATTTTTATTTTTAATTTAAATCACAAACCAAATTTTTGTTATAATAAAAAAAGTATTATAAAAAAAATTAAATCACAAATCAAAATTTTATTTATTTTTTATATTAAATCACAAACTCAGAACTTAGAGGTTTCTTGGTTTAACCGCTCTTATAATACCATTCTTGCAAATTAAATTTTTTTTTGTAAGAAATAAAATATATTAAATGAGATGTCATTGCGTAGATCGCGAAAAGTTATGTCGAATAAAAAAAAAGAATTATCTGAATTTGATACTCGAATCAAAAGTTATGGCCTTCAGAAGTTTTATGATTAAATTTTTATTTTTTTTGGAAAAAAAATGACACGTGTCAACCTTAGGTGAGAGACGCCCCATTGGGGCGTCTTCCCTCAGGTGAGATACGCCCAAATGAGGCGTCACATGTGACGCTCAAAAAAGGCGTCACATTGTGCAATAGATCAGTAATTATTTTCAAAACTGCAATAAATGCGTAATTATTTAATTAAAATACAATAATTAAATTTTTTTTTGCCCGTCATATTGTGCAATAAATATGAAATTATTCTAAAACTGTAATAAATGCATAATTAATTTATTAAAAAACATTAACTTAATTTTTTTGCTACGTGATACTCGTAGCAATTTAATTTTTTTTAAGGGGAAGACGCTTTTTAAAAAAACAACCCCGTTTTAAAAAATAGTTTTCTTATATCGATCTTACTTTTTTATGTGATAATACGAGAAATAATCGACTTAATCCGACAAACCTTTTATTTTGCTTTATGCGTGGAATATATTAATCTGACACACTTTCATGAGTAGGACGGAACACAAATCAGTTTGGTTCGGTTTTTAAAAGAAAAAAATATACAAACCAATCAAAATTAATTGCTTTGTTTGGTACGATTTTGTGAATTTTTTTGTAAAAGTCGAAGCAAGCCCACATGATCAAAAGTAAATTGGTTTGGTTTGGGTAATTAAATTTATCTTAATTATTTTTTTAACGCCCTAAAAAAACATCACCTACAGAGACAGTTACATATAACTTAGTGAATAATTATAATAGCCCCTCTTGCTTGGGATTGGGACGTACGTTGTTTCTGTTCTCCTTCAAGGGAAAGTTATGGCAACATGTTGGAGGTTTTACCTCCCTTTGTCTGTCCTGACCAGATACTTGGGTTGTTCTATGCATGCTTCATATATATATATATATATATATATATATATATATATATATATATATATATGCGTGACTATTTAACAAAAAGTGTGTAACGTTTTTTCTACAAATTGGTTTGCAACGTATGTTGGATAATGCAAACAAACGAAGTACTACAAGAAAGAAAATATAAATACACACTATACAGTTCTACTTGGTATTATAATAAATAAGCAAATTTTGTGGCTTTTTTAAAAGTTATTTTGCTATCAAGGACACATGGGGAGCACATAGAATGGTGAAACCGATGCTTTTTTCTGCAGTGTCACCTTTCCACTGCCAGATAGAGAAAGAACTAAGAAGAGGGGGAGAGGGAGTCTCAGTTTGCTTTAATCACTATCAATCATTGATTTGGAGATTGGAACATTAACCATTGTTATTTAAACTGAAAAGGGGTTGAGACCCTACACTACAGTGCTAGACAGTGGCACATGTTGAATGAGCCTTTGTGGCTCACCACTTATCATTGTGGGAAAAGGCTATGCTTTGGTGCATTAATACTCTCCTCTTGCCCCCTTAATTTCTTGTCGCTGCACATAAATTTCGTTATTTTATGGGACATTATGATATGACCATACGTTATATAATTTGTATAACATATAGAACCCATTATGGGGACATTTTTATGTGCAATAAATTCCAGCCATCGTTTAAAGTTTTTTCTTCCTTTTTTTCTCCCAGCAAAATGGAATAAGTAGGCCTTTAAAGAGAAAACTGAATTTGGCTGAAGAGATGGGCTGAATTAATCTTTAGATCAGACAACTCTCTACTTGCAGAAACAAAACACTCTAGTTTGAGGTGGTGATTTACATCAACTTTTCATAAAGGGCAATGCTTTCAAGCTGCATCAAGAATCCATGGGCTCGTTTATTTTAACTTTTCGTTAAACACATAATAAAATTTGAAAAAAAAAAATCATGAAAAGTTGAATATTGCATTTTATATTTCAGTATTGCTTTTAATATTATTTATCAGTTCATCAATTACTTGACTAATTAAATTTCATATCCCTTATCAGTTGATTTACGTACTCAATAAAAGAAAATTTACAACCGCAATAAATAGTTACAGTTATAACACTAGAGCTTAAGCAGGACGTAAATAAGAGAATTTGAGAAGAGTGGCTTTTGGTTCCCATGTACATGGAGGGTAAAACGTGAAATATCAAGTGTCCAAACCTATGGGCTATGTATAATGGACAACAGTAATCAATTGCATTTGTTTTCTTCCAAGAAACACGAAAGGGATAGTGCAACTTGCTACTCTTGGTTATTTTAAATTATCAACAAGGGTACTTGTTGTTGTTGTTTTTTTTTTTTTTTTTTTTTTTTTTTTTAATACAACTTGTTGTTTTGTTTTGAGGGCATGTAAGTTGACAACAAAATCAAGGCTGGTAAGATACTGCAGCAGACACAAAACTTCAAACTTAGCGGCACAATTGGTTTCAAATTAATATATCTTCTTGGTAACTACCATTCCTTTCCATTTAGAATTTAAAATGCCCAAACTAGTTGAGATTCCCAGATGGTTTTGAAATTCAGTTCCTGGTCTTGAATATTGCTGAGCTTGTAAGAGTAATCTAATGCTAATATTCTCGTTTCTTACAATTGAATTCATGATTAAAAAAGAGAATAAACGTGTTAGGCACTTATAATTTTATGAGATGTTTTAAGTTTCCTCCCATATGATAAAACCTACTTTTTGTTCTTCACGTCTTTTATCATTGATAAAGCTCTCCTAACAAAAAATACCTCTCTTATCTTGTATTCTCTAGAATTCACTAAAATTTCTTTGACTTATATTTGCTCTGATAGGGACTTGCAATTATCTACTACTTAAAATCAAACCACTTTACATTTGAAAAAAAAATATATATATACTGGCTGCGGTGTTGAAAATGGGAAAACAACAAAACCAAAAATCAAAGAAAAAACAGTTAATTACTCCCTACAATATTATTATGATTATTATGATTATTGGTCTAATGGTATTATAATATAGACCTTACCGGATAAGGTTAGAAATAATAATGTAGGAAACTTGAAAGCAGAAAGAGATATTAGCTTTGTCCAATTTTGTCCCTTAGCTCCCTACCCACTTGTCTTCATAAAGGGACACCCTATTGTACCTACCAAGCAAATACCTCCTTCAATTCACCTTTCTCTCTCTAAACCCTCTCAGTCTCAATCTCACTCTTCTCTTCTCTGTTTCTATACCTTCTAGTCATTATCATCTTGACTCTTAAGTCTTCTTCTCCGAACCCATTAACCCTTATCCTCAAACGCACTAAGCTCAATTTTTCCCAATCAAATTCATCATCAAAATCAAATCTTTCTTTCTTTCAACCTATTTTATACCTACCTCAACTATTTAACCTTCCAATTCCAACCAAACGGACCAAAACCTAAAAGCCCAAAACCCTCTCTACTCACTTTCCTCTCTGTTTTGTGACTCTGTTCCTCTCTGTTTTAACTCTGTTCCTCACCCAACTCATACGACAATACCTCGAGATGACACGCACGCTGAGAATTCTCAAATCCACGGACAACGCCACAGCCATGATAGCTGCGGCGCCACCGCCGGAGGCCGTGGCTTTGGAGTCAGATTTCGTGGTGATTCTGGCAGCCCTTCTCTGCGCCCTCATATGTGTAGTGGGACTCGTCGCCGTCGCCCGCTGCGCGTGGCTCCGGCGAGGTACCGGCACCGGCGGAAGCTCTCCTCGGCAAGCTTTGGCGAACAAGGGCCTGAAGAAGAAGGTGCTCCAGTCGCTGCCAAAGTTCGCTTACGTCGACAGCAACCCGAGCAAGTGGGTTGCCACGCCGGAATGCGCGATTTGTTTGTCGGATTTCGCCGCCGGCGACGAGATCCGGGTGCTGCCGCAGTGTGGGCATGGGTTTCACGTGGGCTGCATAGACACGTGGCTTGGGTCCCACTCGTCGTGCCCTTCGTGTCGGCAGGTTCTGGTGGGTGTGACGAGGTGCCAGAAGTGCGGGCGGTTCCCGGCGGCGAGCGGCGGAGCCACCAGAATGGCGGTTAGTGAACCTGAATTGAAGTCCAGAGAAGACAATGCTGCTGCTAGTAATAATAATATTAACGGCGGTAGTTGTAGTAACAGTAACAGTGGGTTCTTGCCTTGAAACAAAACAACTCTAGTTTTTTTTTCTTTTTTTTTTGTATTTATTAGTAGTTTTTATTTTAATTTTGTACTTTTTTAATCCCTTGAAGTTGGTCAGAGAGAACGGAATTTGGACAATTTCTCACTTTATAATAATACAATCCTAATTGTTGCGTATAATACTATAATGTCACATTTTTATTGTTATTACATTTGAGTATAATGTATATATATTTTTGTGGATTTTTGTGCAAAAAGTGTAAGTAATCTCAATATTAAAGTTAAAAAGTGTACAAGACAAACTTTGAAAATAGTTTTACTAATTTTAGAGTGAGGGGATTTGTTTTACTTTATGGGTTTTATTAGTGTTATGTAATATAATGTAAGTGTTCTTTTTAATTCTCACATCAAAAGGGAGAGAGAAAGTGGAATGATGAAAGAGAAAGAAAAATATGTGGATCTCACTTTTTTAATGTGTGTGTAGGAAGGTGAAGTTATATTATGTTAAATTATAAACATAAAATCCTTACTTTATCCTACTAAATATAAGCTAAATATCTATAAATTAAGGAAATAAAAGTATCACGTAAGATGATACAGTTTGTCTCATATTATAGACACGTATACATTATGCTCTCATTGAACAGAAAAAGAAAAAAGAAAATAAAGCGGACCCGTATCTTTTTAAATAAGTTGGAAAAAAAAATTATGTCATGGTACGTCTATTTTCTATTAATCAATCAAAGGGCAAAATGATTGTGTAAGAATGAAAATTGAAAACCCATTTTTTACTTACGCAGATGAAATGATTGCAGTTTGGCCTTTGACAATTACAAAGGGACGGGGAGATTAAAATAATAGGGGAAAAGACAATTTTTTTTTTTTTTTTTTTTAGTAATCTGGGAAAAGACAAGTTTGCTCATGATTGTGTTTGCATTTCTTTTATCAGTCATTCTATTACGTTTAACTAATAAAAATTTATACAATATTGATATTACTTTTAAATTTATATTATTATTATATCAGCTTTATGTATCATATGTTAGTAATATTGTATTGTATTTTAAAAATTTTAAAATTTAATGCATTTACATGCTAATATCAGGTCATTATTGTACCTTGCATCAGTATTAATATCTGTTGAAAAAAAAAATAACAATAATAATAATTTAATTAAGTTATCGTGTTAGGGAGAAATAAGAATAGAAAACTGTCCAACTAGCTTACCAAAAAAAGAAAACATTCCAACTAGATAATGATGCTACATATCAACGCACAATTTTTTTGAGTTGGCTATTACATAAAGAAATGGAAAGAAAACTCATAAACTACTAAATTAATTTGCTTGCGTAAGCTTTTATGTTTAGTTGGTCTGTACAACTAACATCATTTAATAAGATTTATGAAAAAAAAAAATTGTTTCTCGCATATTCTTTAATATCACATTTTTTTTATATTTGGAATAACTAATAAAATTTAAATAAAAATATACATAAATGAAATAAATTTATTTGTAATTAAATGCAATTTTTTATAAATATAAAATAACACGCGTGCAATTATATACCAGTAAAAACAGTCATGTATCATCATTTTTTAATTCTCAACTGTCAACATGATTATTTATGAAAATGAAAAAAATATTTTGGTGTAGATATGTCATATCAATGACATTAAAAGCCATCACATCTCATTAGTGATTACATGCTTAGTCACGACTCACGAGTTTGACAAACTTGTTATGAAAATCAAAGCTTGGATTGTATGTTAGCCAACCAAACTTAGCCAGCAACCCCTACCTTGCATTCATCCAAACAACCAGCGCAGTGGTTTTTCGAACTTCCTGTGTGTCTCTGTCCTCTTTGTTTGGACCCTCCCCTTGTTTTTTGTTCCACTCCATAAACAAAACTTGTTTTCTTTTTTGTTGCCTACTAAGAACCTGTTTAATTTAAAAAAAAAAAAAAAAAAAACCGTCTTTAGATCCTCTTATTTTTAAGTTATAAGTTACTTATAAATTAAAGTTAAAAAAGAAGAAGCTAAAAGTTGTTTGGTAATTGCATAAAAAATTTAGCTTAAAAATTACTTAAAAGCACATGTTTCAAGAAAATTATTTCTCTCTATCTTTATAACTCTTCGTTTTAAAAAAAAAAACACACAATTCAAGAAAAATATATAAGAGCTTAAAAAAAGCTCATAGAAGGAGATTTTAGTTTTCAGCTTTTTTTATTATAAAAAAAAGCTTTTTATTATAAGAGCTTTTTTCAAAATTTGATTGGCCTAACTTATACTTATAAGTAGCTTCTAGCTTAAAAAAAAAGAGGATCCAAATATACACTAACTATTACGGAACAGTGACCATTGTGCCACTGTTGACCAACTTTTTTACCTAAATGCCACGCGAACAGTGTTATTTCCCAATCTGCCACGAAGGCAAGTTCGCTTCTGACACAAGCGACCTCGGTTTGCTGACGTATCAGCTTCCTGGTGGTGTCAGAGTTCACTTATGACACAGGCGACCTCGGTTCCAACAATATTTTAATCAAGTTCGCCTACATGGTAGGCGAACTTCATTTTTTTGAATTTTTTCTTTTAAATTTAATACTTGTTATCCACTAAAAATGTGACACGTCAACAAACCGAGGTCGCTTGTGTCAGAAGCGAACTTGCCTCCGTGGCAGATTGGAAAATAACACTGTTCGCATGGCATATAGATAAAAAAGTTGGTGAACAGTGACATTTTGGTCAGTATCCCAACTATTACCTAGAATGTACTAGTAGCACTTGTGCCTATAAATCATTGAACGAGAATCCCGTTAACTACTTTAGTCAAAGGGAATCAATAGTAAGCTGTATTATTCATTCTCAACCTCAAGTGCTAACCATCGATGGTTAAACTAGCACGCAACCTTCTACATCAAGTTTGATTTCCACTATCCGTGATTCCTCCGCTCATCTTCAATTTTAGCAAAAAGAAATACTTTGATGGGGCAAAATCAAAATAAAATAAAATTTAAAAGGGAAGATAGGACAAAAGAGGGACATATATAATGGTAGTGTATATGTTTATTTTATGAGGTTAAAAGAAAAATAAAGTTTGAGATGCCCTTTTGGCAATATGGTCCTTTTCCGCATCTATGCAAATTCCCCCGTCTATTGAAAATCTCTCCAATGGGGGAGAATATAAGAACTCGTTTGGTATAAGGTATTTTTTAAAATTTTTGGAAAATTAAAAGTGATAATTATATTTATTCATGTTTGGTATAAGATTTTTAAATTTTTTCTAAAAATCTGATTTTCTCAAGATTTTATTTTATGTGTACTTTTTTTTGAAAATACCATCCAGAAATACTATTCAGGGGATGACATTCTAGGATTTCTATGACAAGGAAAAATTTAATACAATTAAACATAGAATTAAGAAAATTAACCCAGTATTCTCGAGAATATTTTAATCTATCAAATAACTTTTTGTTAATATTTTTAGAAAACTCACATTTCCATCGTATTCTTAAAAATTGTGATTTTCTAATAAAAAAATTTCTCTTATATCATACGTTGCCTTTTAACACACCATTTATGCCAAATATATATGAAAAAAAAAAAGCTTATAATTGATGGCATCTTCTACTCTTTACTTTTTGGTAAGACGTGTGACTTGTTAGGGCCCACCCACCATTTATCTTCCGAGGTTATCCTCTGTAGTCTGTTCTCTTCTCTAGTGTGAAGTGTAAAGAACTCATCAACAAAGTTGAAAGTGAAACTTGAAAAAGCAATAGCCGATATTTCCCCCTAATCCTCAAGATACATGATTTGACAGCACTATGGTGGCCAAAGATTACATCCAGTTGTCACTCTTTATTGCAGCCCCTTAAGCTTTTCTATATTGTTTGTTTTCAACCAAGTTGAGGTGAGGACTCATAACTTGCAACTTTGCCTACTTTTTTCGTTTTTTTTTTTTTTTTTTTTCTTCTTTTCCCAAACCTTTTTCTTTAGCACGTGACTTATCAGAACATGACATCTCCGTGGGCAACTTTGTTTGAATGTTACCTACAATTTCTCCTGCGACTGCCTAAAGAAGTAGTAGTCAAAGTTCAAACTATGTAATCCATTTTAAGTATCCAACATGACTAATACCTAAATTGATGATAGCATCTTAGCAGTGCCTTTCTACCACGCCTTCTACTATCTAAATGTGACACTAGCAAATCGAGAAAGACACGTTTTAAGCGTGAACATAATAGGTAACTTTCTTTCCCACTTTGACACTGTAACTGGGGTTTGATTTTATCTTCTTAAGAATAACTTACAAGATAAGAGATACTTAGTGATGCGAACAACTTTTTGATAGACTGGGATGTGGGCACATGCTGCAATTTATTAAAGAGAAAATTAAAAAGACGTATAAACCAAAAGTATTATTTTACTATAGGACAAAATTGCAAATATCCATAGATTTGTTATTTAGTCCTTATTGATAAGTAAGTTGGTTTGCATTTACATGTTTTTGTTTTTATTTCTCCTTTTATTAAATGAAGTGGTCTAAGTGCTATGAAAATGCTCACGACATATAATTCTTATTTTGTTTTTTGTTTTTTAATAAGAGGAAGATTATACTTACAACTTTTTTTTTACAACCTCTTACAACCATATCTTAACACCGTTGATTTCTGTCAGTCGACGGTTATCATTTATTGTGAATTAATAATTAATTAATGAGTTTAATTTACGAAAATCATAACCGTTGATTGACGGAAATCAACGGTGTTAAGATATGATTGTAAGAAGTTATAAAAAAAAAATTGTAAGTATAACCTTCCTCTTTTGAGGATATGATCTGCTCCACAAAATATGGGCTGTTAAACAGTTATGACAGGCCATGAGAAATTGATCTTAAATCATGTTCTCATTTTCTGCAGCGACAAAGAGTAACAAAGAATGGCATTCATTAAGTATCCTTACATTTCTAATGGAATCTCGTAGTGCTAACACCTTATATCGACTCATTCTCCTCTTCACCATCACTACCTCCCCCAAATACAGAAGCCATTTTCATAGCCAGCTTTGCAGCCATTTCCCTTCTTTGAAAATCAGGCATCAATCTTAAACTTGCACGCATATTCCCAATCTCAGACATCATCTGTTCCAAATCCTCTAAGTCAAGAAATTTGCCCCTATCTGCCTTTTCATCTTCAAAATCATCGATATTCAGTGCTACTTCCTTGTCACTTTCAACCTGCACTGCGGTGCTTGAGGTTGAGGGTTGGAATGCTTTATCAGATTTGATTCCATCCTCATGTTCACATTCTGTGTTGGGGTTGTTATGAGGAGCTGATCCTCCTGCATCCAAGGAAGTCGCAGAAACCCATTCTTGTTCTGCATCACCCCATGGATCAGCTGAACCAGCTGATAAAACTTCATACTCCAATTCATAATCAGATTCTTCTGAAGACAACTCTAAATAAAAATAATTTAAACCAAAATTAGTGCTCAACCTTTATTCTTCATTACTGAAAGTAGAATGCTTCAGAGAACAAGAAAAACTAAGGGAAGAAAATAACCTTTTTTCTCAGGCAATGATGGTTCACTTATTCTATCACCAGATTTTAATATCATTCCAGGCCACATATGAGCAGAAAGAGCACCATAGAGCCGTTCAACTCCTTGTAAATCACCATCTACAGACAAGCCTGTCAACAGCAGCAGTTCTTTTATCTCAAAGATCCAATACATGTATGGAAATTGTATAAATGGAAAATATTTGTCTTGAGCATGTATTATAACTCATTAGTATATAAAACTGAGCATTTGTCAAAGCGAAAACTCAGAGCAATATGCAATGAGTCATATTATTGACTTGTGGACAGCTCATTACAACAGCTAGGAAAGGATTACATTTGTCAAAATCGGCATTTGAAGCACAAGCCTCAATGAACTCGATGTTGTGATCAGTGCACCATTCCAAGCAGGATCTTCTGATATTCCTTGATGGTTCTTCATCCCCCAATAAACTAGTTCCTTCAGATTCAGATATTCCATACCCAGTGAACTCCGAATAAGGGTCAACAGCAGAATCTTCAAGCTTCAGCAATCGTCTTCTATACTCAGCATGAACTGGATGATCTGGAATCAGGTCCACTTTGTTTCCAATACATAATAGTATCTCAAAGTTTTGAATATCAGTGCGCGATACCCAATCTTGAAGTGCAGTTAGGGAAGATAGCTGCACATAATAAGAAAAAAAATAAAGGTATATCACATGAAAATGTCACTGCAAAGGCATAACTCTGCACAAAATTTTCCTGATGGATTAAATCATTAGCAATATAACAAATTAAAGAAGAGTCAAGTGAAGAATGCTGACATCACTCATGTCAAAAACCATCACCAAAGCATCCAACCGTTGAAATACGGGTAGGTTTCCAACAGAAAAATCATCATGAAGATTAGCCGTCCATACAGAAACATCAGCAGTATAGTACTTAGTGGTAATATTCCACCTGTTCAATCCATCAAAGACACACTGAGGAAACTTGGAAGGAAAAAAAAAAAAAAAGTGTAATCAATCACATGGAGAAAATGATTCACGGTAAACATACCCATAGGCGTTCACTTCAGATGCTGCTGAATCAGAAGCATCTTCAAAGTCAATAGAGAGCAGTCCTGTAGTATATCAAATCAAATTTAGCACATGAAAAACCAAATCAAGAAATGATACTAGAAATATTAAGATAAGATAATAGTGAATTAACATGATTACCAGCGGAATACCCTTGGTTAAAATCCAAAACGTTAAAAGAAACCTTTATCCAAGCCATCAAAAGAAAATGATATATTCAAGATGAAAATGTGATTTTTAAAACAGTTACATCAGATATCAGAATCCAAAACTAAACAAGGGACACCACTGTTCTATTTACTCACTGAGCTAAAATTAAAAGCTTAAAACGAGCAACCAGGCTTTACGGATCAATAACCAAAAAGGAAAACTTAAAAGACTTAACTGAAAACCTGACCTTTCAATAAAATCCAACAAAAATTACTAAATTTTTCATATTTGGGAAAATCCCAATTCATGACCCACACAAAAAAAAAAAAAAAAAAAACTTACGGGATAGGAGGGTCCGTTTACCGACGTTGCAGGATCCGATAATGAAAATTCCGGGTCGATTCTCCAGAGGGATCGGATCCTTTGGCGACTGGTTAGCGTTCATTATTAGTTGCAAGCTTCAATTTTGGTCTTTGAGAAACGTTTAATTTCGATTTGATTTTTTTTTTCTGAAACCCTAATTATGGGCATTCACTGAGTTTGTGTTTTCTCTTCCGGGTTTTGGACATTGTCGTCGTCTCCTTCGAGAAGCAGCCTTGCAGTTATCTCCTCCGCTGGCCCTCACGCAAGCAATGGTGTGCGTTATCCATCGACCACTCCTGTTACGCCACGTTGTTCCTTAATAGTTCTTATTTATTTTTCAGACGTATTCTAAGCTGAAAAAGCAATATTATTAAAATCAATTCGATCCCTGACCCCGGTTGAGGTACTGAGTCACTGATCTAATCGCATGATTCGATAATTATATGCAATTTTATAATTTATATTAAAAAGTTATAAACATATTCAAATATATAAAAATATGATAAATTTTTTAAATATTTTAATATAAAAAAATAATAAATCACATATTATTATCCAATAAAAGATCAAACAAAAATATAATGATCGTGATACAGGACTTTAGGTTCAGAAAATGACATATCTAACAATAAATTAATTCAAAATTTTCTACATAGTATATAATTAAAATAATATTAGTGTTCTAGGTACATAACTTATGTAAGTCAATAAGCAAAAAAGTATTCAAATATGTCCATTATGATTTTATTTTATTGTTTTTAAATTTGGAATTATTTTTTGGACCGGACCAAGTCACTGGGTCACCGATTTTTATGAAAACCGACCAGGTCAGATCGGGTCGCACTGGTTCTGATGCATGGTCGACCCGTTGCTTCAATCGAACCGGTTATATGATCGATTTACCGATTCCCGGTCGGTTCAGTTTTAAGAAAAATTTAATATTTAACGTTGCTTTCTCACTATTCAATATTTTCCCACTTGATCCTCAATATTTAAATAAAATACTAGGTAATACTAAAACTACTTTCCTTTAAAACGTCACTGGTGTGTCAAATTATACAGCAAACGAGGTTTTTTATTAAAATATAATGATAATAATAATAATAAAGAGGACGTGTTATGGTAGAAAAGTCTTTTCATTATCTCAAATTAAATGCTGCGTTTAGAATATAGGTTTAGACAATTACCTCGAACATAAAGTGCAATCTAATCAGATTTGAGTAAACTATACTTTGTTCTTTAAAGCAAAATCTCTTCAAGGCCAAGATAAATAGTCTCTAAAAAATTGTATTAAAAAAAAAAGTCTCTAAAAAAGAAATTTGAAATCTCTAATTATTTTCATCTCACGAAAGAAGACACTCATACTTTGTTTTTCATTATTACCCACTTGGGGTGTATATGCAAACCGAACTCATACAAATAAAAGTACAACAATCCAAATTTTGTACGAGGCAAATTTTGCTTAATTTGCTGCTATTCTTATGGCAGACTCTCTATAATTTAATCTGTTCAGATTTCACTTAAGGTCATAGTTGTAATGTAAAAATATAGATATACAAGAAATTTTTTTTTAATATATCAACCCTAATTATTTCTTTGAAGCTAATTAATCCTCAATATTTTAATAAACTTTAAATCTTTGAACCGGTCATGAGACTAATTTCGAGTCGGAGCTTAATCATAGTTAAAACTCTTTGTCCCTTTCCAAAAATATATTTGATAGAAATTGAACTCAGATTCTCTCTCTACCTATTCAAATTGTACTGCCAATTAAGCTACACTCGTTGGATAATATAGAGGAATTTTGATTCCAGGGTCTTTAAGTCTGAAACGTTTATCGAAGAATACAACCAATTTTATAGTGATAACCTTTTCAGACCTCAAATGTCAGTAAAGCACATCACCTCTTGCAAAGCATGGCTAAAATCAAATGCCAGGGAATGAAAATGAAAATAACACAAAAAATACTCTAAACATGAATCGTACTCATATTATGTGTAAATAAATTACTATATTATATTCATTTCTCCTCAAAATACAACCAAAAAAATAAAAAGCTTGATGCTGATATGTATTCAAACGCCAAATAGTTTCAATCTTCCACCAAATCTTTTCAACCCACTTTTGAGGGAATCAAAACCAACTAAACTTCCAAATTTAACAATGATCAATAATGCTGCTTCTTCTTATGACGACGACGACGACGACGATATCACTAAGACAGGTCAGACTTTAATTCCTATTGTGGCAGGATCAGTACCAGGCTTTGCACCAATAGCAAAAAACTCAATAATGACTTCTAAAGGCATGCCCTTTGTTTCAGGAACTTTCAAGTAGACAAATATCCACGAAATGATGCAGCCAGCAACAAATAATCCAAAGACACCAGTAAGACCAAGAAGCTGGAGCAAATAGGGAAATGTTAAAGTGATGATCAATGTACAAAACCAATATGTAAGGGAACACATAGAAATGCAGATTCCGCGGACACTAGTTGGGAAGATTTCTGCACATATGATGTTGGGAATTACACCAAAACCCATGCAGAAGCAACTTTCGTAGACAATAACACTAATAGCAGTGATTGCTGCATTGAGGACAGAACTCATGTTAAATAACTCCCGGAGTACTAGTACCAGGAGACAAACTATCAAAATGGGTATTGTGTACAGCATGATTGACCTGCCATGAGAAAACATATAATGTCATTGTCGCGAATTGTGGCATTTTACTCCAATTTTTGTTTTATGAGATAGCAAGCAAAGAAGAGATAGAATTTTATAGGGACAAGTAGTTAAGCAAATCATGCATTAATAGGAGACTATTTAGATTTTAAAAATGGATTCCATCAAATGCCAACAGAAATAGTATGGCAATGCAAAAAGAGATGAAACAATTGTAATGTTTTAATATGGCTAAGGCTCCATACATGAAACTCAGACCAAGTCAATGTTTAAACATACCTCCTTCCAGCAATATCCATCAGCCTTATGGAAATAGCTATACAAGGAAGCATACAGAATGTTGTAATGATGTTAACAAGAAAAGAAGCAGATGTTGAACTAATGCCCAAATTAGATAAAAGAGACCCTACTCCTGCCTCCTCAAGAATTTGGGGAGCATAGTATAGAAATCCATTTATGCCAGCAGCCTGCAATATATATATTATATTTTCAGAATCAGAGAAGAAAGAAGATTTTATATGCAAGTGAGTGTTCATCATGAATATCCTTTGCTTCAGCTAATTTTAAATTGTGAGGAAAAGAACACCTGAAAACAACATTATGTACTTAGCATATATGGCCAAGAATTTGTCAAAATTGTCAGCAGGAAGATGAGATGAGGAAAAAGAAAGTAGAGAATAGGGTCGTGTACAGCAACTGCAAAGCAAGAGGAGACTATTAATTATGCATATTAAAGGATAGGATTGGATACACCTCCCATCCTAGAATTAAAGTCGGTAAAGTAAAGATACCCATTAGAAGAAGAATTGTAATTGTGAAATGATCAAATCAACATCCTTATCTTAAGCTCACCGTTAATTATCTTCACAATTATTAATCCTTTATAACTAGACTGATAAAATACGTGATAAAGTACAACCGAGGGTAAAGAATAACTTCATAACAATCCAATTTTAAGATGAATGCATGGGATATCAATTATAGCAGGATACAATATAGTCAAGTGATATAATACTAATACAATGCCAACTAATTGTACCTGTTGAAGAATTTGAAGTCCTATTCCAACAATTAGTGCACGCTTGACCCCCGGCTCTAGCAGACCTCTCCAATTTGGACCTTTTGCAACAACTTCTGGCATATGCAACATATCACTAGTACCTAGAACTGACCTGCTGACTAGAGCGGCAGCCTGAAAAGCTTCACCATCGTCTATAGGTATGTCATAGCCAGAAGTTGAAACAAATGAAACATGTTGAGAGTGAGATATTGCGGCAGGATCTGCGTGCAAATAAACCCTTTGGAGTCCTTCTCCTTTCCCATCCCCAGCACCATCAGCTGATTTATAAACCAATTGCCAGCCTCCACCAATGTTTGTACTTTTAGGTGTTCCGACAGCATTCCCATGAACCAAACTGCTATTACTTCTCAGGCTGCTAGTGCTCCTCATACCTAACATGTCCTTGGATCCATAAGCCTTCTCAGCAGCAGCACCTCCAAATGACATTAGCGGAGCGCGCAGGTTGTCACTGGTACCAAAGGGGCTGGCCGGTGGATCTCCCGTACTAAAGATACTATTAGCATTATGAATTAGCATACTGCGTGAACCTCCACTCTCAGGGAGAGTATTCTCATGCAAACTTCCAAAGAGTGTGACAATAGGATCCTTAAGACCAGCAGCAGCCTGAGATGCAAAGCTTCCTTGCTGGGACAACATGCTGCGAGATGCAAAGCTACCCTGTCCATTCACTGGCTGGGCAACCATTGTAACTTCCTCATTGGGTCCATATAACTTTATATAATCTTTCGCTGCTTCCTGATTAACAAGGAGCTCACTGGCTGGGGCAACTACATACTCTTCTAAGGAAGTGGCTTCACCTCCAGGACTGAGACCCTCCGCCAACAAAGCCAACTCTCCTATAGATCAAAGATGACTCCTAGTCAGTAGAAAATGATGACGCAAAAAAATTTTAAACCAAGAATTACTACAAATTCAGTGTCACCTGAAACATCTTCAGCACCACGAAGTCTTTGCAGAACTTTTTCAGCCTCATGGATTCGACCTTTGCTCACAAGCCACCGAGGAGATTCGGGCAGGTAAAACATAGCAAGAAGAAAATAAGCAACAGAAAGAATTGAAATAACGCCAAGCATGATTCTCCAATTAGGTGAGTACATGAAGGACATTGAGAACACAAGGATGTAAGCCAAAAACATTCCACTAGAACAAGCAAACTGTGTAAGAGTGGTCAATTGGCCTCTGATATCAGCTGGTGCTGTCTCAGATATGTAGAGAGGAGTAAGAGTAACAGCAAGAGAATTTCCAACCCCAACAAGCATCCTAGACACCAGAACAACAACAACACTAGGAGCCCACAAAATCACCAAACCACTAAAAAAATACATAATAGAAGCTGCTACCAACATAGGACGTCGTCCAACCAAATCAGAGATTGTCCCAGAGAATATTGTCACAATAGTACCCGTTATAAACGACATGGACACGATTAGCCCTTCAAGTGTTGGATCCTCTTCCAAGTTGAATTCCTGCTTTATGTAGGTTATGCCCCCTGCAACAGGGTACCAAACATGTTTATTTAACTTTAGTAACGAGATCTAATACACCTTTTGCAGCATTACCCAATATCTGAGAATTTGGGTAAGCATTTCAATTTCATATCCTCAAATCAAAACACTAGAAAGAAGCAACATATGGAAGAATAAATCAAAACCCAGAATCTATTTTCATACATGCCATTAGATTTTCAGATAAGTAGACGTACATGCACACATGTATATAGAACTGAATAATCAATAGACAAAACATAAATAGATGATAAAGGAGTAATTGATAAAAGAAAAAAATCAACCTGCAATGGTTGAACTATCCCATCCTATGAGTAGATTCCCAAGTGTAGCAGCAACTGCAACAATCACAACCTCCATCATTTTTTTCCCTCCTTAATCTAGAGAAAGTAACCCAAAATCCAAACCCAATCACTCGCAACTCAATTTGAAAGAGCTTTGGAACACTTTTCAGATTTTCTTTCACCCGGTATGTTAAAGTCCAGAACCTGAATGGGAATTAGAGTTCCCAGGATAAATAGTTGTCATCATCCAATGACACTGAACATGTTGGACTATTGGTTTCAGATGTTTGCGGTTTTCATCAACATGTCCGAATCTTTTTCTTTTTTGTTTTCTCAATCCAACTCAAATCATATCTAAGTCCCTAGGCTTAGCTGTACGAGTGGATTTTTTTTTATATTATTTTATTGTAGAAGATAACGTGACAACTAAATTGTGTTACTACTAAGTGACTACCAATCAATCTTACCGTTAGATTGATTATATTGATCTAAAGATTATATTTATTTTCATCTTTGTATGGTCATGATTCCCTAAATTTAATATTTTATATTTATTTTCACCTTTGTATGTTATGATTTTTCATATTTAATGCTTTCACTTTAAATATGGGGAATCATGACCATACAAAGACGAAAATAAATATAACTATTGGATCAACATAATCGATCTAACGGTGAGATTGATTAGTAGTCAGTTGGTAGTAACATAACTTCATTGTCACAATATCTTTTCCCTATTTTATTTATCATCACATGATTCAATTAATAAATTAAACAAAAAAGTCAAAATAATTATGTTGTCCCACATGTTACGGAGGACTATGCTTGCATTTCGTGATAAGCACATGAAAATGAAGATTGCTTGTGATTGTGAAGCCGCCACGATAGCATTTCCCACGTAGCTATGACTCAAAAGTATTTTAAGTATTAAAATAAAAAGTATTTTAAGTACGAGTAAATAAAAATATATTTACTATTTAAGAGGAGGAAAGTTATACTTACAATCCTTTTTTTACAATTTCTTCCAACCATATCTTAACATCGTTGATTTTTCTGTCAATCAACGGTTATATTCTCGCAAATTAAACTCATTAATTAATTATTAATTCACAATAAATGATAACCGTTGATTGACAAAATCAATGATAACTGTTGATTGACAAAATCAATGATGTTAAAATATGATTGTAAAAGGTTGTAAGTATAACCTTCTTTAGAATTTATATATTTTTATTTATATTCTTTTCAAAAATCTACTTGAAAAGATTTTTTTTACATTTATACAAAAACTAATTTTTGTTGACAACTGGAGATTTTGGACCCGTTTTGAAAAATAATTTTTTGATTTTCATAAAAAAATATATTTGATAAGATATGTTTATAAAAAAAAAGCTTTAAAATTTGTAATCATTTAAAAAAAATCAAATTTAGAAAATATATCTAATTTATTTTTATTTTGTGTTTTTACATTTATTTTTTAAAACAAAAAATATTTATTTCATTAACTATTCTACAAAATAATTTTTTTAAAAAAAATAAAACACAATCAAAAGAACTTAGTTTTCCAAAATAAAGTTGATACCATAATCTCAGCAGTCAGGATTTTGAGGGAATTATGCTAAGCATTTATTTAAATTGATATTCTTGAGAAGTATCAATTAAAAATTATATTAGTTATATATATAGGATATCTTTTTTCTTATACAGTATATATAGGATATCTAATTAAGTGTGAAAAATTTATTTTCTTATTTTATGATCTCTTATTTAGTACAGATAAGAATTATTATTTGCCTTTTGAATCACATAGTATCTTATTACATTATTTTATTAAATTTTTTCTGTTATCCATCTCCTTCGTTCCATTATATCCTGATTTCTATCATTCTATAATTTTTTATATTTAAATAGGGAAATCATTTTCTTATGTAATAGGAGATAGTTTTCTCATGTTGTGAGACATCGAAATTCGTGCTATCTTTTTAGTTTTTTCTTCTTTTTTAATAAGTGATGGGCCCCACCACTTATTGTGTCTATTACATGAGAGATGATATCTCATGTGACATGAGAAAAGAGAAGCCCATTTAAATAATATCATGCCAGCAATCCAGCATCCATTAAACATCTTCCCGTCCTTTGTATTGATTAGTCAATTTATATGTTTTTATTCACGGAAAACGTTTTGCCTTTTAAAAGAATTAAGTTTTATATTATTTTATTTTCTTATAATTATATATTTTGAAAAGTATATAGTTATAATATTAAAATTGTATTTTTTTTTTTACTTTTCAAGTCAACTGATAGTTTCTGAATAGAGAAAAAAATATAACTTTAATATTATAATTATATACTTTCTAAAATATATAATTATAAAGAGATAAAAGAATAAAACTTAAGTCCTTTAAAAGATAAATTATTTTTCATTTTATTTAAATTAGGTGACACACAAATTAAAATGGCACAATTTACTCCACACACACACAAAAAAAGGTTCAGTTTGAATTAATAAAACAAATAATCAAAAATGGAAGATATTTATTATTAGTCACCGTCTCTTAGAAAGTTCAAATTCAAATTCAAAGTACACAGGAAGGAGAAAGGAACCACATATGCGACAACATAATTCAGCCACGTGTTTCATAGTCATATAATAATCACATTTCATAGAAGAAATTAATAATTAATCCGTACGGGAATTTTTAAAAATATAACAAAAGTTATGCTAAATAAATAATGGAAAAAAATGTTTCTGCAGTTAATGCAGATAAGTTATCTGTTTTTATTTCCAAAACGACGTCGTTTTGGTATTAAAATCTTAAAAAATTATAAATATAAAGACTATTATAACCCTGAAATAAATTAAAATTACAAAAATACCATGATTTCTGTCCCAAAACGACGTCGTATTGGCTTACTGCAGATAACTTATCTGCAATAACTGCAGAAAAGCGAACCCATAAATACTTTAGATAAAAATTTAAAAAAATTAAATGATATTTGAATTATACAAAATATAAAATTGAATTTAAAATAACTTAAATTCAAATAGTTAAAAAATTAAAATTAAATGTGTTATTTTTTGAAAAAAAAAATATATGTTAAGAGATTAAGTCACTTTTAAAATATGTATTCTATTTTTTTTTTCTTTGTGGTAAATAATCTGTATTCTAATTTAGTATAGAATTATTAATTACTTATTAATTATATTGATATGATATCTACTTCAATTTAAAACTTAAAAATATTTTATGTAAAAATGAAAATTTTAAACGTGAAACAGATAAAAAAATATACAAAATGAAAATTATAATAAATCCGAATATTCCACTTAAATTACGATTATGCTTAAAATTAGTTAAATTCAAAGTATTAAAAACGGGTCAGGATTAAATATAAAAATAATAAATATTATATCCAATCTTAATCGTTGATTTTCGTACGTATGATTATATTTTATTAATTTACACTCATTAATTAATTATTAATTTTACTAAATTATTATTGTTAGATGCACAAAAATCAACAATTAAGTTTTGATGTATAATATTTATTACTTTTATACCGGTAAAAAAATCCTGCCCTATTAAATAATATTAAACAGCAAAACAGTTAAAAAAAATTAAAAATAAAACTACGTATTAGATGGAGAAAGGGAAAATAAATTATCTTATTCTCAAAAATAAAAAATTTATTCTATTATATAAGGATGAATTTGTCAACATAATCAGAAAAAGAAAATGTTTAAATTGAGTAGCCATGTTCATTTTGTTTTATTTGCCTATTCGAGCATGATATTGATATTTACGTTTGAGATTACATATTTTATATGGATTTTCCTTTCAGGCATTCGACGGAATGATTTAATTTGATATTACTTTATCAAATTCCACATTTACATTAATTAAGCTCGGATATGAACAGTGCCACACATTCAAAAATATTAAGCCCCGTTAGATGGGTTTACCTTTTTTTAGAAAAATAAAGTACTTTTCAGAAAAAAAAAGTCAGTTTGAATGAGGTAAGTTATATTTACAATTTTTTTATTTACAAACTATATTATCCTTTTTCGAGAGAACGCTAATCACACTATCTTCTCCTAAAAAAATATAGTGCAATTTTTCATAAATTTATAAAAAAAATTTGTAAACGAATTCATCTCCAATTTGAATACCTATTTTTAGAAAGAAAAAAAAACCATTAGTAATAAAAATAGCTAAAAATATGTTTTTTTGAAAGCTAAATATTTTAGCTTCTAAAAAAATAAAAGTTAAAACTTAAAAGTCAAATATTTTATTCGAAAATCAAATATTTTTTAAGAATCTAAATAGCTTTAATTTTTGTAAAAAATATTATTAAAATAAGTACGACATAAAAAGCACTTTTTTAAAAACTCATCCAAATGGGATCTAAGTACAATTGTGAATAGAATTTGTAATAAACTGTAGACAACTTAAAATTAAAAGAAAAAAATAACTCCCTCAAGTATAAATTTTTTAATAAAAGTAAATATATTTATAAATATATAAGTTAAAAATCTTAAAATATATGATCATAATTCATTTATTATAAAAAATTTATTTTTTGTATTTCTTTAGTAATCATACCTATTATCTATAAATTATTAAGAAAGAAAGCTAAAAAAAATATAGTTTTATTATAAATTATTACAAATAACACTTTAAGAAACATAATACAATTGTAATTTATTACAAATAAAACTTCAAAAAATATAATATAATTATAAATTATTAACAAACAAAGTTCCAAAATAATCCCACCTGGGAATATTTTGTTTAATAATTACTATATAAATAGTGTTTTACTATTATATTACTAAATTTATTATTTTTATGTAAATTTTTCCTTACAAATATGGGCTAAGGGAAACATTAGTCATAGCTTCAAAATTTAGAGAATATCAAAGAGTGAGAGAAGGATAATTTTGGAGGAAATTCTATTTGAAGATAGGGATAACAAGTTTTTAGAAAAGAAAAAAACTCTACTTGAAAAGAGGAAAAATATATATTGAAAAGATAAAATTGAATAATAAGGTGATGATAACTTCTTTTGTTTCTTTTAGAAATACAAACCCCATCGTAATTATATTGTTTTTGTTATTTTATTTTTCCATTTATTTCTCTAATCGGTCCCAGTGAATTACCGTATTTTGATTTTTTTATGTTATTTATTTGTATTTCAAAAATTAATATCTTTTTAGTTTATTTCACACATTATAATTAATTATATATGCACCAATTTGTAATTTAATAATTAATATTTTATTAATTAATAATTTTGCAATTTATGTTTTTGCAATTATATTTT